AGTTCATGTGAATTAATTAGCCAATCTTAAATCAGAGCCTGGATAGGAGAGGTTGGATCAAAGAGACTGAAGTGTATTCAAAGAAAATTGAATTTTCCCCTTGGCTTCTGCTTCTACAACCCCCAAAGACTGGGGCTGTAAGCATTGTACTTTAAATGTACTGCTTTAATGTAAGATAAACCCTACGCTGATGAGTATCTTCTCTTTCTGTTGACTGTTGCATTGTTATGTACGTTTAAAACACAATTAGTTGGGATAACATGTCTTGACCTGGGTGTTTTACTTTACAATTAGAATCAAGTAACAGTGTCTGTGAGATTATTTTATGTAATTGGAATGAGCTTCTCTCTTCAATTTGGTGTAAAGATAAGAGTCATTATAGCCTTTGAGACAATAGCAAACAATAGATTATCCTCCCATGTTGTTGCTGGAGGCCTATGATTGTCATTCTCTTTCCACAGCGGATTACAGTAATCAGAATTTTCATTCAGGCTGAAAAAAATATGACAGTCAGTACGCCAGGTTGTCATTGCAGAGGCTATAAAGGACTTTGATGTATTTTATTATATAAATGGAACTTCAGCCTTTTACTGTGGAAAGGGCCTTTTTCAGAATAAATATTCTTAGCCAGTCTTCCAGGAAATTTTAGAAAGGAGCTCCTTTGGGTGAAAAAGCCTCCTTATGGTTGTGGAAACTCCAATATTGGACAGAAGCTGATCAGAATTCCTTCGTTATATACGTTATTTCAATAACCAGAGATCTATGGCTAGTGTTCCATGATACAGATTCACTTTTGCTAATGATAGAATGACTTTATTTTTTAAATTTTTTGTAATTCATCTATTTGTATATATATGTAATATATATAAGGCATACATGTATGCACACACACAAAGGTATGTACATATTATCTATTAAGTTTTTTAATGTGGTTCAGAAGAGAGATTTTACAACAGATGAATTTGCTCTTTTTCTTTGTAGCTATGGCAATCTATGAAGAATACCATTTCAAAAATATTTTGTATTATTTAAAGACTCACTCTGTAGTAGGATAGCTGGCCACTTCTCCACTCTGTAACAGGTACATTAGTGCATATGTAAACAGGACAAAATAATTTCTGACATAAAAATCTGCAAAATTGACTACTGCTAAAAATGCCTACAAAATGCTGGTTCATTGTTTATGCTTTTTTACGTTTTTAAGTTGTTGCTGAACTCTGCAGCACAGGTACCAGCAGTGGCTGTGATGTCAGTCGTGTGCTTCTGATCCTTAGACAGTAGGCTGAAATTACTTGCTCATTTTGTAGGAACATGTAAATAATAAATTGGTTTACAGCCTTTATAATATACTGGGCTTTTTACCACCACATGTGTTACTCTGGATAAAAAGATCTCACTTTTGAAGAACATATTTCTTCCGGACCTTGTTCAAGTTCACTAATTGTTGGGTTACAGTTAGCTCCACAGGGGAAAGGGTTGGACTCATTGCCATCTCCTGCCTCACAGCTGTGAGAGATGAGCAGCCTTAGAAGAGGGAGCCATGGCAACAGCAAGGCTCTTCCTGTATATGCAGATTCCTGCAGCTCTTTGAAGGAGCGAAATTGGTCCTGAAGTTGTCTAGGCAGGGATGCGTGCTAATGTAGCTGAGTGCCATGAGTTCTCTTCTGGTGCCTGAACATACATGGGTGATGCAGATCTGGTCGTCTTGAGGCTGGAGTGCAAATTCAAACAACCAGTGACGCCAGTATATTCTGATGTAACACGGGTGGGCTGTACCCCGTTTGCAATATTGATGGGCAAAACAGTGGTGTTGGTAGTTAATTAAAAGATATAGAAGGTAAACTCGTCCATTTTGTTAAGATACTCAGATGTAATCACTTCAAACCAATTAGTTTAACTATTTTGTGTGGAGTGGCTCGAAGACTGCACTGTCCAGTGTGGAATAGTGTACATTTCCTTTATGTGTGTTTATTCTTAGCTAGCATGACTGACTGAAGTCACCATCTGTTTTGGTTTGGCCTGGATAAATGCCAGGTGCCCACCAAAACTGCTCTGTCACTCCCCCTCCTCAACTGGACAGGGGAGAGGAAATATGATGAAAGGCTTGAGGGTTGAAAGAAGGACAGGGAGAGATCACTCACCAGTTACTGTCACGGACAAAACAGACCGAACCTGGGGAGAAAAGGGAGTTTAATTTATCACCAATCAAATCAGAGTAGGATAGTGAGAAATAAAACCAAACCTTAAAACACCTTCCCCGCAGCCCTCCCTTCTTCCTGGGCTCAGCTTCAATCC